GACTGTTCTGGGGGGGGAGGGAGGGAGGAAGAGACTGAAGATAAACTGTGCACCTACGGATGAGGACAATGGGGGGTGGGGAGGGGCCGGAGGATGGGGTGGGAACCTGGTGGAAGGGGGAAGAAATGAGGAACCTTTGTAATAATATGAACAATAAAGATTGATTAAAAAAAAAAAAAGAAAAAAAGAAAAAGGACCAACTAGAAATTAAACATACACTGACTGAAATAAAAAATATTATACAAAGACCCAACAGCAGACTAGAGGAATGCAAGAATCAAGTCAAAGCTTTGAAATACAAAGAAGCAAAAAAACCCACAAAAAACAAAAAACAAAAAAAAACAACAAACCTCCCCCCCCACCCCCCACTCAAATAAGAAAGCAAAAAGAAAAAAGAATCCAAAAAATTGAAGGTAGTGTAAGAAGTCTCTGGGACAACTTCAAGCATACCAACATCAGAATTATGGGGGTGACAGAAGAAGAAAGAGAGCAAGATACTGAAAACCTATTTGATGGAAATAATGACTGAAAACTTCCCCCACTTGGGGGAAGAAATAGACTTACAGGTCCAGGAAGTGCACAGAACCCCAAACAAAAGAAATCCAAAGAGGATCACATCAAGACACATCATAATTAAAATGCCAAGAGCAAATGACAAAGAGAATCTTACAAGCAGCAAGAGAAAAACAATTAGTTACCTACAAGGGAGCATTCCTATGATTGTCAGCTGATTTCTCAACAGAAACTAAGCAGGCCAGAAGGGAGTGACAAGAAATATTCAAAGTGATGAATAGCAAGATGTTACAACCAAGATTACCTAGTAAAGTTATTCAGAATTGGAAGTCAGATAAAGAGTTTCACAGATGGGATCCAAGATGGCTGCGCCCAAGTGAACACCTAGCCACAGCAGCACACAACAATTTCAATAAAATACAACTAAAATATAAAATGGACATTGCCCAGAACTACAGGAAGGTTGACTGACTGGAAATTCTGCAGCGAGAAGCAAGGAGAAAACCAGAAGGAGGCGCGGAGGAGCTGGAAAAGCCCAAGGTACCCAGGCGCGGTGCGTGGAGAGGACGGAGCTGGAGAGGAGGGAGGCCGAGTGCCTGGCGGGCATTCCCTAGCGGAAAGGAGATAAAACTCCGACTGTGCTGGGCCCCCGACTTCTCTGAACCCCAGTTCTAGGCCAGACCCCAGGGACTCAGGCTCAGCTATAGGGAGCCGGGCTGTAAGGCGGAACCCTGGGGAAGCGGCGAAAGGAGGTCCTGGGGGCAGCACACACACTGCGCGCAGAGAAGGGACAGTCGGCTGTGCTATGGGATTGCCCTGACAGGAAGGAGACTGGGGCTCCAGACTGCTCTGAATGCCACCTCCAATTCCACTTCCAACTGAACTGAACCCCAATACTGGGCTCATTGGGGGAGAGCATAGACTGTTTGGCAGCAGGCGAAAATCGAGGGCACCTTTCTCTCAGAGGCGCTGGCAGCGAGCACTGAAGGACCCACATAGGGCGGGGCTGACGGAAGCCAAAGCTGCAGGCTCCACCCTGAAACCCCGTCCCATCTGTAACTGCAAAATGAGACAACAAAATAGATCACAAACGAAAGAAATGGAGGACAAAAAGCGTCTGGATATAGAGTTCAAATCTACGCTTATAAGGTTTTTCAAGAATTTCCTAGAAAAGATGGATAAGACCTATGAGGATATGAAAAGAGATCAACTAGAATTAATAAGGAGTGATCAAGAAATGATAAGGGATCAACAAGAAATAAAGAACACATTGTCTGAAATAAAAAATATTACAGAGTCCTAAAAACAGAAGGGAAGATCGCAAGAATCAAGTCAAAGATTTGGAACATAAAGAGCCAGAAGACACTCCTCCACAGAAGCTAGAAGGCAAGAGAATCCAGAAAATTGAAGATAATGTAAGAAACCTCTGGGACAACTTCAAGCGAACCAACATCAGAATTATGGGGGTCCCAGAAGATGAGAGAGAGCAAGATATCGAAAACATACTGAAAGAAATAGTGACAGAAAACTTCCCCCACCTGGTGAAAGAATTAGACTTACAAGTCCAGGAAGCACACAGAACTCCAAACAAAAGGAATCCAAAGAGGACCACACCGAGACACATCATACTTAAAATTCCAAGAGCAAAAGACAAAGAGAGAATATTAAAAGAAGCAAGAACAAAGAAGGTAGTTACCTATAAAGGAGCACCTATACGATTGTCAGCTGACTTCTCAACAGAAACCATGCAGGCCAGACGGGGAATGGCAAGAAATATTCAAGGTGATGAATAGTAAGAACCTACAGCCAAAGATAATCTATCCAGCAAAGCTATCACTCAGAATCGAAGGTCAGATAAAGAGCTTCACTAATAAAAAAAAGCTAAAGGAGTTCATCAACACCAAACCAGAATTATATGAATTGCTGAAGGGGGTTCTTTCAGAAGAGACAGTAAACAAAGATAAAAATTATGAACAACAAATAACATAACTATCAACAAGTGAATCTCAAAACCAAGGAAATTAAAAAAAAAAATCTGATGAACAATAGTAACTGTTGAATATAATAGAATCAGAGGTATGGAAGGGGCGTGAACTGACGATTCTTGGGGAAAAGGGAAGAGGGGGGCGTGGGAAGAGACTGAACATAAACTGTGCACCTATGGATGAGGACAATGGGGAGTGGGGAAAGGGCAGAGGGTGGGGTGGGAACCTGGTGGAGGAGAGCAATGGTGGGGGGAAAAAAAGGAACATTTGTGATAATATGAACAATAAAAACTTATTAAAAAAAAAAAAGCTTCACAGATAAGAAAAAGCTAAAGGAGTTCACCACCACCAAACCAATATTCTATGAAATGCTGAAAGGCATTCTTTAAGAAGTGGAAGAAGAAAAAGGTAAAGATAACTTATGAACAACAAATACATATCTATCAACACGGGAATTTAAAAATCAAGTGAATTAAAAATCTGCGGAACAGAATAAGCTGGTGAATATAATACAATCAGGGACATAGAAAGGGAGTGGATTGATAATTCTCGGAAAGGGGTGTGGAGGGTGAGGGAAGAGACTGGACAAAAATTGTACACCTGTGGATGAGGGCAGTGGGGGGTGGGTAAGGGCAGAGGGTGGAGTGGGAACTGGGTGGAGGGGAGCTGTGGGGGGGGGAAGGAGAAACAATTGTAATAATCTGAACAATAAAGATTTATTAAATTAAAAAAAAAACCCTTGGAAGATGGTGGTGCATCTCTGATAAATCTAGCAGAGAAACAAAACATTCACTCTAACCTTATTTTACTTTTGTTCCTTGCTTCCAAATATTGGCTTCTCCTGATTTTCCTCTGCATATAGCTTTCCCTGAAAATTTCTTTAAAAAAAAATACTTTATTGATTTTTTACAGAGGAATAGAGAGTTAGAAACATCGATCAGCTGCCTCCTGCACATCCCTTACTGGGGATGTGCCTGCAACCAAGGTACATGCTCTTGACTGGAATCGAACATGAGACACCCCCCCCCCCCCCCCACTAGTCTGCAGGCCGACTCTCTATGCACTGAGCCAAACTGCTCAGGGCCAGTTTTCTTTTTTTTAAATTTTTTATTTTATTTTCAATTACAGTTAGCATACATTATTGTATAGTTTCAGGTGTACATCACCATGATTAGATTATATAACTCAGTGGTCGGCAAACCATTAGTTAACAGAGCCATATATGAACAGTACAACGATTGAAATTTCTTTTGAAAACCAAATTTTTTAAATTTCTAACGCCACTTCTTCAAAATAGACTCACCCAAGCCGTGGTATTTTGTGGAAGAGCCACACCCAAGGGGCCAAAGAGCCGCATGTGGCTCACGAGTTGCAGATTGACGACCATGGATATAAGTGATCATCTCAATAAATCTTGCACCCATCTGACACCATATTTAGTTATTACAATATTATTGAGCATATTCTCTGTGCTGTACTTTACATTCCTGTGACTATTCTGTAACAACCAATTTGCACTTCTTTTTTTAAATATTATTTTTTAAAAAGAATATTCTTAACGACTTCAGAGAGGAAGGGAGAGGGAAAGATAGGAACACCAATGATGAGAATCATTGACCAGCTGCCTCCTGCATGCCCTGCCTGGGGGTGAGCCCGAAGCCTGCAACCCAGTCATGTGCCCTGACTGAGAATCAAACCATGACCTCCTGATTCATAAGTAGATACTCAACCACTGAGCCATGCCAGACTGGGCCAATTTGTACTTCTTAATCTCTTCATCTTTATCACTCATTCTTCCCTACCGATTTTTATGTGCCACACATGAGTGTGGGACCATTCACTTCCCTGTGTCCACCTCTCCTACCAATCTTGTCCCTTATACCAATCTCGATGAGGCTGCTTCTTTATATCCTTAGTTGTAGGACTTCGGTTTCAGTAAGATTTCAATTGGTTCTGAATGATGGTTGTTCTATAGTTTAGTAATTTTGATGTGGTTGTGGGAGAAGGTGAGTACTATGTTAATCTATGCCACCATCTTGAGCAGAAGTCTTGCGATTTTCTTTCCAAAGCATAGGAAAAGGCAAGATGATAGAAAATGGGCGACAGTGAGGAGTAGCATGAGACAACAGTGGCTACTCTCAGGATGTTGGTTTGACCATCATGTTTGGAGCCCTTGCTTTGTGCCAGCCTGTGCTGAATACTGCATACTCAGGATTCCTTCCCCAGGGAGCTTGTGTTCTGTTGGGGAGGCAGCTATGTCCCAGGTAACTGGGGGCAATGGTGTTGGGACAGACGATGGCAGGCTCATTCTAGAAGAGTTTGCGCACAGGCGCAGGCAGCAGCAGTGAGAGGAGCTTGTTGCTGGTAGCAGCTGGGACCATCCCCATTACCTGCATCATATGTCAATAAATGTTGGAAATACCCAGTGTATGTTACAAAGTGATGTTAGTGTACTGATCTCAGATTTTTATTTAATGACATTGAATCTGTCCACTGTTCCAGACCCGCCAAGAAGTGGGACACTGCAGCTGTTCAGTACTTTCAGAACATCCTAAAAGGTAAGGCAAATGTGCCATCTGCAGCCGCTTTGAACCAACACCCATGGTGGTTTAACCTTCAGGTGGGGAGGTTTGAGATGTGCATTTTTAGCTGTTTGATCCTCCTCACATGGGTTCAAAGTTATCTGGAGCCTTTTCTACCCCAATGTCACAGTGACATTGCAGTCCTGGATTTTTTTATTTTTTTATTTTTTATTTATTAATTTTTTTTGTGGTGGGTGTGGATATCAGTAATTGAGAGGTGAAGTTAGAAAGAGGCTGTATGGGTAAGAGATGCTGACACAAAAACACTGCTTGCCTCTTAGTCTGCATAGAAGCTGAAGCACTGCAAAATAAATTTACATGCATTTTACTGAACCAGCAATCGATTAAAATCCTAAGTTATTGTGTAATCATTATTGCTAATTTAAAAGGTATAGACTGTCTCAGAGCATCTATGCAGTATGTTCTCTTCATATTGTTGCATGTAGCAATATATTATAATATGAAGACTCATTTGTGGCAACTGTCCAAACCTCTGGCAATCAAGAGCCAAATAACTGTGCCAGCCTCTGAGGGCTGTTTTGAGAAGAAGTGGGTGTGAACTCTTGGAGTGCTACCTGTACCTGTTGAGGCCCTGGCCCTTCTCCTCTGCTGCCCCACTGTCCAGTTAAAGCAGGATGTGGAAACTTTTTACTGTCAAAGACACCTGGCTGATTTAATATTCTCAGGCCATACAAAATTATCAAGTTAAGAATTAGCCTGTTAAGCCGAAATCGGTTTGGCTCAGAGGTAGAGCGTTGGTCTGTGAACTAAAGGGTCCCAGGTTCGATTCCGGTTAGGGGCATGTACATTGGTTGCAGGCACATCCCCGGTGGGGGGTGTGCAGGAGGCAGCTGGTCGGTGTTTCTCTCTCATCAATGTTTCTAGCTCTCTATCTCTGTAAAAAATCAAAAAAAAAAAAAAAAAAAAGAGCCTGTTATATTTGGTCAAACATTTAATTAACTCACCCCTAATGCATTGGCAGGGCCAGACCAAATGATTTCATGGGCTTTATATGATTTCATAGCCCTCGTGCCAGATCTTCCCCACCCCTGTGTTAAAGAAACAGCCAGGTGCTTTGAGAAATTGGAGGTTGGGGGTGAGGGTCACTGGTTTTGGAGTTTTGGTCCTTGTGAACCTATTAGGGAATGCTGGGAGTCAGAGTTTGGAAGAGGCAGAGTGCCTAGATTTGAATACTGCTTGTGACTGCTGAGCCTTGTCTCTTCACTGGGACAGTGACCCTCAAAGGTTATGGTAAGAGTGAAATGAAATACGTTTCTAAAGGACTTAGCATAGTGTCTAGTAGGTACCCATACATGGAGCTGCTGTTTGGATTAGTAAGTCTCTGAGAGGGTAAAGAGCTCTGCTCTGTGGGCATTTGGAAAGTGGACTCAGATGAAAGATGGTGGTTGGTTGGGGACAGAGGATACAGGCTTCCTGCCTGCCAGGAGAGCCTCCCCTCGACTTGCCTACCTCCAGACCCCTCCTGCATTAAGACCCACCTGCAGGAGGAAGCCATCGGACATGTGGCACTGGGTAATCAGAAGTGGTTAGCAGAGATTAATAGGTGGGAAATAGTCAAATTGTTTCAAATATACTTTTGATATCAGCTAATTACTGTTTTCATTTATGCCACTTAGCAACTACCAAGGTGGAAGCCAAATTATGTGCTGTAGAAGATGATACTTTTGAGGTTTATCTTTATGTAACTATAAAGAATGAAAAAGTAAGTGAAAAAATTGTATTTTAAAAATAGTTTACCATTGTTTAAAAATCTTAATAAAACAAAGACTAAACACCAAAGGAAACAATGTCATTTACACAACATAGACATTTTCTTAAACTTTCAAGGTCTGGCTTAGATCAGAAGTAAGCAGGACTGTTTCTTCTTTTTATTACTTCAATAATTACTTTAGTGTTTTATTTAGACAGCATTTTATTTAGTAATGGGCAAGAAATTATTCCTATTGTGATGAGTATGAAATGTTATTTCCTTATAAGAGAACATCTGTACTAATAAAAGGGTAATATACAAATTGGTCTTTACTAATAAAATGGTAATATGCAAATACGCCCTTACGGTAACAACCAAACAGCAGGCTGTGTGGGATGACCAGGCCAGCAGGGGGGACAGTGAAGGGCAACCAGGCTGGCCGGGGGGGGGGGGGGGGGGGGGGGCAATTTGGAGCAACCAGGCCGGTGGAGGGACAGTGAGGGGCAACTAGGCCAGCTGGGGAGAGCAGTGAAGGGTGACCAGGCTGGCGCGGGGGTGCAGCTGGGGGCAACCAGACCAGCAGTGGGGGCAGGTGGGGGTGAACAGGCTGGCAGGGGGGAACTTAGAAGCCAGCAGTCCCAGATTGTTAGAGGGATGTCTGATGGCCCAGGGATTGGGCTGAAACAGTCAGTTGGACACCCCCCAAGGGACACCAAGCCTCTAGTAATTTAAAAATATATATATTTTATTGATTTTTTTTTTTGAGAGAGTTAGAAATATTGATGAGAGAGAGAGTCATCGATCAGCTGCCACTTGCACACCCCCTACTGGGGATGTGCCCGCAACCAAGGTACATGCCCTTGACCGGAATCGAACCTGGGACCTTTCAGTCTGCAGGCCGATGCTCTATCCACTGAGCCAAACCAGTTTTGGCTCTAGTAATTTTCATAAATACATTTATTTGGTATAGTTCACTGCTTCTTCCACCCCATAATTTTCTCATCATGTATAATATGTGCACATTATAAAACTTCAGATAACAGCCCTGGCTGGTTTGGCTCAGTGGATAGAGTGTCATCCTGCAGACTGAAAGGTCCTGGGTTCAATTCCAGTCAACGGCACATACCTCGGTTGTAGGCTCCTCTCTGGCCCAGGCCCTGGTTAGAGCTCATGCAGGAGGCAATCAGTCGATGTATTTCTCTCACATTGATTTCTCTCTGTCTTTTTCTCTCTCTCCTGCTCTCTCTGAAAATCAGTGGGCAAATATCCTCGAGTGAGCATTTAAAAAAAAATAAAAAATTCAGATAACGTGAGCCCCCTGCTTTAATTATAAGCTGTTAGTATTTGGTCGCCTTTATGAAGGGTGCAGCTCAGCACCTTGTGTGGAGGTAGATGAGATGCTGATTTAGGCTGTTTGGGGCTCATAGAGGTCAAACTAGATCACAGATTTATTTAAAAAATTTACTTTGAAATATTTTTATAGTTATAAACAAGATGTAAAAATAATGGAGAGTTGTGTATATCCTTTACCTGGGTTCTCTTCATGTTAATCATACAAACCAGTGATTCAGTGATTAAAACCAGAAAATTGAAACTGATAAAAATACTATTTTTAGAAAATCTACAGATCTTATTTGAATTTTGGCAGTTTTCCCACTAATTTTCTTTCTCTGTGCTAGGATCTGAATGAAGATCCCACATTGTATCTGATTGTCATGTCTCTAATCTCCTCAGTCTGATGAGACAGTTCTTCAGTCTTTCCTCATCTTTGAAGACCTGGCTATTTTGTAGAATGGCACTCAATTTTTATTTTATTCCATTCCCTTCTGGCCTGATGTGTTTCTTTTGAGAAATTAGTCACTAATCTGATGGGAGATACTTTGTAGGTAACTTTCTGTCTCTCTCTGGGTGCTTAGAAGATTCTTACTTTGTTGTTGGTGTTTGCCAATTTAATTATAATGTGCCTTGGCATAGGTCTTTTGGGGTTCATTTTGCTTAGGACTCTGAGCTTCTTGGATTTGTGGGGGATTTTTTCTTCCCTATATCAGGGAAGTTTTCTATCATTATTTCTTCAAACAGGTTTTCTATTTCTTACTCAGTCCCCTCTCCTTCTGGGACCCCTATAATGCGGATGTTGTTTCATTTTGTGTTGTCCCAAAGTTCTCTTAGGCTCTCCTCCTGCTTTTTAATTTTTTTTTTTAGAAGCTGCTCTACTTGGGTATTTTTTCCCTAACTCTGCTTCTTCTAGTCTACCTTGATGCTTACTATTGAGTTCTTTACAACAGTGATGTCATTTTTCATTTCGTCTTGGTTCTTCATTTTCTCTTAGTTCTTATACATATTGTTGAATTTGTCTTCCATTGTTTTCATCCATCTTATGACCATTTCTCTGAATTCTTTCTCTGACATATTGCTTTCCTCCATTTCGTTTACTTCCTTTTCTGATAATGCTTGCTCCCCCCCCCCCCCCCCGTATGCTGGCTGTTTCTTTGTCTCCCCATGATCTCTCTTCTCCGCATGTCTAGTTATGTAGTTTTCTATCTCCTGTGTTGATTTTAAGGCACAGAATACAATACAACAAGGTAGAACACACAAGGCACTGAACACAAATATATTCACGATATTAATAGCCCCGAATAAAGGTGACCACCAGAGAAAGGAGAATTAGAGGATAGGAGAGAATGGGGGCGGGGGGAGAGATTGAGAGAGAGAGAGAGAGAGAGAGAGAGAGAGAGAGAGAGAGAGAGAAAAGAGTGCAAAAATTAAATTGGGAAAAGGAAAAAAGTAAGAGTGAAGAGAGAGAGAATAAGAAAGAAGGGAGGAAAAAATACACACACACACACACACACACACACACACACACCGTATTTTCCGGCATATAACACGTCTTTTGAAATGAAAAATAGCCCGCTAAGATTGGCCAGATTCAGAGAGGCGGTCTATTAAAAAAAGAACTGGTGTTGCCTCGGAAGTGGGGGGTAGTCTTATACAGCGAATATAGGCCTAAACCTATGTTTTAACTGTAAAATTAGGGGGTCGTCTTATACGCCGGAAAATATGGGGTGTGTGTGTGTGTGTGTGTGTGTGTGTGTATGGAGAAACTCCAATAGAACAGCCACTAATCCCAACACATGTCAGCAACAAGTACCTGGAGATGAATGCAAATTGCAAATAACAACTAATATCAAGTGAGGTGAGGCAAAACAGAAGCAAAAAAACAAAAAACCCCCACCAAGAAAACAAAAAGAATAAGCAAAATAATAACTCAAACAAGCATAAAAAATTGATATAATCAAGCCAACAACAACAACAAAAAGGAAAATTTTTTTGATAGTGAAGAAAGAGGAGAGGTGTGTATGGATTTGAAGCAGGGGATTGGGAATTAGATTTATAAGTAGGTTGAAATTTTAACAGGGTAAAATAAGTCATAGGGGAAATCTAAAGCAGGAATCAGGTAAGAGAAGCAGGACAACAAAAGGATAAAAGTGAGGAAGAGAGTGATGGCATAAAGGTAAAGTAGAGATTGAGTAAAATGATGCTAAGGAAAGTTGAAAATAGAATGAAGGACACTAATCCCAAAGTAAAATAAAGAGAAAATAAAATGATGCTTAAAAAAAAGTAAAATAATATTAGTAATAATACTGATTGAAAATAAAAATGTAATAATTAAAAAGATAAAAATCAAGCGAGGAAAAAAGAAAAAAATAGTTTTTTAAGTAAAAGATGAAAACAAATGTCAGTAATGAAGGTCATTCACTTCCTCTACTGTTCTGTTTGACATGCCTGTTTCCTAGTCAGGACAGTATTGAAGTTCCCTGCTCCTCAGTTGTAAGCCAGTCCTGATTTTTAAGCAGGCAGTACATCATTATTTCTCATATTCCTTTATTTGTGTTTTACACAAGAGTCAATTTGTGATTCAACCCCTGGGTGGCAGTGTTTCTGGATTGACCTCGGGGGCTATAGATCCTCTCTAGCTAGTGTTTAGATTTTGTTTTTCCTGTGGCACTAAATACCGGTTTATGGGAGTGGGTTGCCCCAGAGCTGGTTCTCTGATGGTTATTTCCTGTTCTGATCCCCAGGTTCCAGAAAAACAACTTTTCCTTGCAGTCTCTTAGAGTGTCCCCAGTTGTGTGATCCTATGTATTGGGCTTAGTAATCAGAAGCAAGGATTTAAAGAGGAAAAAAAGAAAGAAAAAGAAAAAGAAAAAGAAAAAGAAAAAGAAAAAGAAAAAGAAAAAGAAAAAGAAAAAGAAAAAGGAAGGAAGGAAGGAAGGAAGGAAGGAAGGAAAGAGAAGGAAGGAAGGAAGGAAGGAAGGAAGGAAGGAAAGAAGGAAGGAAGGAAGATTAACTGTGCGAACTCTGGGGCTGTGTGCAAGCAAGTCTGCGCAGTCTTTTTTTCCCCTTGGGTCTAAGCAGCTGGCACACTTTTAAAAATTTTAGGCTGTCCTTTTGCACCCAGATGAATTGGGTTGCTTTTTAAAGTTCCCTTCTATTAGCATCTTTGAGGACCCCTTTCATCATTCATGGACTGCCCCCTCCCCCCCCAACAGCCACCGATTTTTCTAGCCACAGACTTCCCCAGGTCCTCCAGTACCTACTGTGGGTGCATTTCTCTCTCCTGCAGGAACTACAGACCTCACCTTATCCCAGAGGAAATCTGACCTCTCTGGGAGGGAGTGTAGAGCTCCTCTGAATCCGCGTGCTTGGACCACTTGGGACGAGTGTTCTCGGGTTTGTAACTGTTCATTGGGAGCCGTAGTTGTAGATTTCCTGGGCTTTTTCAGGCTTCTGATAACATCACTTTCCCCTTCAAGATGGCACGGTCTCCTCATCTGAGCTGGTCACTCCGGGAGGGAACCTAGCAGCAGTGGGGGCTGCCCGGTCAGGGAGCCCCATCCAGCAGTCCTCTACATTCTCCTCGAGTATATCTGTCTTTCAACTCACCAACAAACACTCCCCGTGTGACCCACACACTCTCCCTTTGTTTTCTCACTCACACACTATCTTGCAGTCTGCCTTCCCATCATCAGCATCTTCATTTTCTTGCCTGGGTTCTTTCACTCAACAAAGTTATTTTAAGATCCATCCATGTTATTCCTTTTATTGTCAAAAATAAAGATATTGTTTTTTTCTGGATAAACTTGTGTGTTTATCCATTCACTTGTTGATGGACATTTGAGTTGTGGCCACTTTGGGTAATTACAAATAAAACTTCTGTGGCTGAAGCTGGTTTGGCTCAGTGATAGAGCGTTGCAGACTGAAAGGTCCCAAGTTCCATTCCAGTCAAGGGTATGTACATTGGGTGCGGGCACATCCCCGGTAGGGGGTGTGCAAGAGGCAGCTGGTGGATGTTTCTCTCTCATCGATGTTTCTAGCTCTCTATCTCTCTCCTTTCCTCTCTGTAAAAAATCAATAAAATATATTAAAAAAAACTGCTGTGAATATTCATGTACAAGACTTCCTGTGGACCTATGCTTTCATTTCTGGATAGTAGATATTGAGAAACTACCAAAGCCTTGGCCGGTGTGGCTCAGTGGTAGAGTGTCAGTCTGTGCACTAAAGGATTGGGGTGTGTGCCAGAGGCAATGAATCCATGTGTGTCTCTCACACTGATGTTTCTCTTTCTCTCCCCGTCTTGCCTTCCCTCCCAGTCTCTCTAAAAATCAATGAATAAAATATCCTCGGGTGAGGATTTAAGAAAACAAACAAACAAACAAAATGTTTATCAAATAGTTTTCCAAAATGGTTGACCATTTAAAATCCCCTTAGCAGTGTATGTGAGTTCTACTTCCACATTATCTTCAACACTTGCATGGTCATTCTTATAGATGAGTAGTGGTATCTCTTTGTGGTTTAAATTTGCATTCCCCTGTTGATAGTGATATTGAGCATCTTTTCATGTACCTGTTGGCCATCTGTATGTCTCCTGTGGAAAATTGTCTTCAGATCTGCCCATTTTTTATTTGGATTTTTTTTAATATGTTCTGGATACTAATTCCATATCACATATATGATTTGCAGATATGCTCTCCCATTCAGTAGGTTGCCTTTTCATTTTGTTTAAGGCTTCCTTTATTGTGCAGAAGCTTCTTAGTTTGATGTAGTGCCACTTGTTTGTTTTTGCTTTTGTTTTCTTTGATACCAATAGGTATCAAATTAAAAGAATCATCGTCAAGATTGATGTCAAAGGGCTTACCACCTAGGGTTTAATTTGTAGGAATTTTAATAATTTGAGGTCTTATATACAAGTCCTTTATCCATTTTCGAGTTAATTTTGTGTATGGTGTAAGGTAGTGGTCCAATTTTTCTCAGTACCATTTACTGAAAAGACTGCTCTTTCTCTGTTGTATATTCTTGGCCCTTTGTCATAAGTAAACTAACTGTATCTGTGCGGGCTTATTACTGGGCTCTCTATTCTATTTCATGTATCAGTTTTTATGCCAGTACCATTATGTTAAGTAATTTTTTTTTTACAGTTTACATTCCGTATTGCATTAGTTCAGATGTACAGCACAGTGGTCAATTATACACTTCACAGTGTGCTTTTCCATGCTGCTTGAATTACTATCTTTCACTCATTTTTTATGGGTTGTTTTTTTTCTTTATATTGAGTTTTTACAGGTTTTTTTTTAATTTTTATTTTAGTTTTTACAGTTTTTAAATGTTTTGGGTTCACATCCATCCAGATAAGTTATTTAGAAAAATATATTTTTAAATTTTATTGATTTTTTGAGAGAGAAATGGAAAGAGAAACATTGATGTGGGAGCAAAGCATTGAACGGCTGCCTCATGGACAACCCCTCCTGGGGATCAACCCCACAACCTGGGCATGTGCCCTGACCAGGAATTGAACCTTCTGGTGTACCAGACTATGTCCAGTCAACTGAGTCACACTGGCCAGGGCTAGAAACGTTTTCTTCCTGTCTTTGGATTGTTCTAACAGTATGTTTTTAAGAGCAGAAATTTTAAATTTTGATAAGGTTTGATTTATCAGTTTTTCCTTTTCTGACTTGTATTTTGTCTTTGCGTCCCTCCCTCCACCCCGATCTTTACATGGCAAAGTTATGTTAGCTCTTCAGTGCTTTTAAGAAGATTTTTTGTTTAGTATTTCATATGGATTCTTATTGTTTTTCTTATCTGAAAGAATGGTCAGAAATATCTGGTTCATCATTACAAGTGCAGCAATCAAGAGATCAAGTTCTATCAAATTATGTTCTATAAAATAATTTTTTTGAGGATCATAATTGTGGTTAATTTGGAATATTTTCTGAATAGTCATTTAACTATATTTGTCTTATAATTCATGAAATGTTTAAAATTGTACAGGTTTGTGTTAATGATGACCTGGTTGCAAAGAACTTCGCTTGTTATGTATCACCCATGGAGAATAAAAACTTTGATTCTTTAGAGAAACCAAGATTGAGTATAAAGTCAGCATCCTTTCCCAATAAACTCAATCCAGCACTTAGTCTTTGGCCAATGTTTTTGCAAGGAAAAGATTCTCAAGGAATGGAAAGTGAGTAACTCCTCACCGATATGTTTCCTTTAAATTGTTTTATTTATAGAGATCTTAGTGTGTGTGTGTTTTTAAATCTTTATTGTTGAAAGTATCACTTAACGTCTTTTCCCCCCATTGACCCTTTCTAGCTCTCCCCTCCCCCACCTGAATCTTAATGTTTTGATATAGTTGTATAAATGTTTCCCAATACAGAGACAGGGACTTGAACTCTCAATTTAACACTTTAATTACATACTTAGTGAGTGTGTTACAAGTTTTGAGGTCCTAAAGCTGCTACAGCTTGTTTTTATGAGAACAGGAAAAAACTATTCTCAATTTCTTATTAACGTGAAATTATGTTTTCAGGAGTCTGTCCATGTGTTCATAATTCAGAGATACTGCCAAAACAAGCTTTTGTTTGTTGTTTAAAAGAACTAGTTAATAGCATGAATATATGAGAAAAATCAGTCATGGACAATGGAAACACTTCACCTATTTCTACATTCAGTTTTCTTTAGTCCTTCACATCTTTCCTATTGAGGAGCAATGTCACCTATAACCTTACTATTAAAAGTGAGAGCAGAAGTATGTAAAATAATTCACATTTGTATTTGGGTTTAATTTCATGCTTTAATCCTGAAATATATTATTTTTGTCAGAGTCACATGGTTTAACTTTTCTGGCGCAGTCTCTCCAGCATTCGTGGCCCAAGCGTGTTGTGAGTGATCCAGGGCCAACAGCTACTATCCTGGGTAAGTTCTACTTGCTTGCTTCTTTTCAGAAGCAGCATAAAACAACCCTCTTAATGGTCTGAAGATAATAAGGGTCGTTTAGAAGGGGGCTATGGTATTTCTCTCTTTTCTTAATTTAATGGGACCAGTTTGTGATGTCTTGCTGACAAAGATAATTTGCCATGCAAATTAATCGATGCTCAATTCATACTTACAAGATTTGATAATAATGTAAGGAGCATAACAGGCACTTGTTCATGTATCATAGAACTGATTTATTCCAGCCCAGATATAGGTAAATGATAGTTATTTATCCTCAGAGTATATATATGTATATATGATTGATTTTTATTTTAAGTAATGGGATACATAACAATAAGAAAGACACCTTTATTAGAGCAGAAATATGCAATCTTTAATTTCATATCTTTATGATATTAAATTAATGGAAATTGTTGGACATGGGTGAAATCTGCCAGCATCTTTGATGCTTGGCTCACCCTGTGGTAATTCCTAAACAATTTTGTTACTACATTGGGTGTACACGTACTTGTGGATATAATATTTCATATGCATCCATAGTAAATCTCAACTAAGTTATAGCTTTAGTCAAGTAAAATATTCCCTTTACTTAAAATTGTTTTTAATTAGTTTGGTAATGTTAAATATAGAAAAATACAGATAATAAAAATTTCAAACATCTGTGATTTTTATACCCACTTATTAAAATTTTGGAGCCTTTTTCCAAAAGTTTTCCAGATGTGAGAGTGTGAATACAATTTTTATTTTCCAGAAATGGGATTCTACTATTCGATATATATAACTCTGTGTAGTGTTTTTCACATAATATATGGCTGAACTTCTTTTTAGGTCAAATGTGTCCAGTATAACGTGAGTTTAAGGATATGGGCTCTGACATGAGACTGTCGGGTTATCAGTCCCATTGCCTTCTCTGCGAGTGGGGAGGCATTACTTCTGTCACATTGAATTTATTAGGTGGGTCATTCATGAACAGAGTTCACATAGCTTAGCACCTGCAGCCCTGCCCCAGATACTGATCTGCCTCCTGTAGGGATCTTAAATTAGAATTGCTGCTGAAAGGAGACTCTGGTGGGAATGTGTTCTTTCAATTTGTGTTTCTTTCATTTTCATTGGAACAGGGAAAATACAAGGCATTTATGTTGTGTTTAATCATTGCACAGCTTTCTATTGTGTGAATATGCCATTATTATTCTAAGTAGCCCCAGATAGCTGGATAGTCATTGTTTCCAATTGTTCTGTATTACATCAGTGTTGCAATCAACTATGCATGTCTTTGAATAGGAAAAAGTTGATGGTAAATAAAATGTGAGATTTTATTGGATTGTCACGTAAAAATGAAGGTATTAGCTTGACTGGTATGGCTCAGTGATTGAGTGTTGACTGGGAGGTCACAATTCGATTCCTGATCAGGGCACATGCCCAGGTGTGGGCTCGATCTCCCATTGTGGGAGGTGAAGAAGGCATCCAGACCAATGATTCTCATCATTGATGTTTCTATCTCTCTCTCTCTCTCCCCCTTCCTGTCTGAAATTAATAAAAATATTAAAAAAAATAAAAACCATAAAAACCACAATATTATTGTTATTTATCTAAACAAAGATTTCTTTTTCCTTCTAATCATTGTGATTAATTTTTGATATTTCTCTTTAAAGTTGCTTTATTTTACTTTTTAGTCAAAGTTTTAATATTTTAAAAAATACTTGGTTAAATAATCAAATAATACAGAAAGGCTGTAATAAAAAGTAATTTTCTCTTGTCCAAAATCTTCTCACCCCAGGCTTTTTTCTTAGCCATTTATTTTGGCAGTTATCTCCAAATCTTAAAATAACTCTGATTAGATCTGAAGATGGCAACTGGCAGAAAGGTAGGGAGGGAGAGAGTATGAGAGAGTGAGGGAGCGATAGAGGAGTGTGTGGATGTGGTGTGTGTGTGTGTGTGTGTCTGTGAGTCTGTGAGTTAGGGACAGTTAGATACTGCCGTCTTCCAAGAGGCTGCCAAACTGGACAGACTTAGACAGCGAAGCTCCGTTGCCAGTGTGGACATTCTGGGGGGCGGCCAACGCGGACACAGAGACCAGACCATCTTGAAAAATAGAGCTGCTTAAGATTAGGATCCTGGCCTCAGCACCACCAAGTCTGGTCTCAGACGCAAAGTAGGACCTTGCAGCCACTGGTGACAGATACCTCTACAAATCAACCAATGACAAGTGCTGGAGAGGATGGGGAGAAAAAGGAACCCTCATGCACTGCTGGTGGGAATGCAGACTGATGCAACCACTGTGGAGAACAGTATGGAGTTTCCTCAAAAAATTAAAAATGGAACTGCCATTTGACCCAGTAATAGCACTTATAGGAATATATTCCAAGAAAACAGAAACACCAATCAGAAAGCATATATGCACCTATATGTTCATAACAGCACAATTTACAATAGCTAAGATTTGGAAACAGCCTAAATGCTCATCAGCAGATGAATGGATTAGAAGACTGTGGTACATCTACACAATGGAAATCTATGCTGCTATAAAAAGAAGGAATCCTTATCATTTGCAACAGCATGGATGTATCTGGAGAGCATTATGCTAAATGAAATAAGCCAGTCAGTGAAAGATAAATACTATATGAGCTCACTTATTTTTAAAAATATATATTTTATTGACTTTTTTACAGAGAGGATGAGAGAGGGATAGTTAGAAACATTGATGAGAGAGTCATCGATCAGCTGCCTCTTTTACGCCCCTTACTGGGGATGTGCCCACAACCAAGGTACATTCCCTTGACCAGAATCGAACCTGGGACCCCTCATTTCGCAGACCGACGCTCTATCCACTGAGCCAAACCGGTTTCAGCTGATCTCACTTATTTATGAATAATAAAAAAAATTGCAAACTGTTGAACAAAAATAGAGGCAAAGAACCATCGAATAGACTGTCAAACTACAGCAGAAAGGTAAGGAAGGGTTGAGGGGGGTGGTAAGAGAGCAACCGAAGATCTTGTATGCATGCATATAAGCACAACCAACAGACGCAAGACACTGGGGGTGGGGAGATGAGGGCAAGTGCCCGTGGGTAGGGGAGGCCAGTGGGAAGGTTGTAGGGGTGGGGGAGGAGGAGACATATGTACCACTATTTTTAAAAAAATATATATTTTATTGGTTTTTTACAGAGAGGAAATGAGAGGAATAGAGAGCTAGAAACATCGATGAGAGAGAAACATTGACCAGCTGCCTCCTGCACACTCCTTATCAGGGATATGCCCGCAACCTATGTACATGCCCTTGGCCGGAATCGAACCTGGGACCTTTCAGTCCGCAGGCTGACGCTCTATCCACTGAGCCAAACCGGTTTCGGCTGTACCACTATTTAAAAAAAAAAAAAAAAAAAAAAAAAAAAAAAATATATATATATATATATATATATATATATATATATATATATATATATATATATAGATTTTTTACAGAGAGGAAGAGAGAGGGATAGATAGAAACATCGATGAGAGAAACATCAATCAGCTGCCTCCTGCATACCCCCCACTGGGGATGTGCCCGCAACCAAGGTACATGCCCTTGACCAGAATCGAATCTGGGACCCCTCAGTCTGCAGGCCGACGCTCTATCCACTGAGCCAAACTGGTTTTGGCATGTACCACTATTTGTAATACCTTAAGGCTTAAAACCTTGATTAGTTCTTTATAGGTTTATCAATTCTAAATATGGTCTTGACATCTATGACAGATCAGCTTTCATTCCCCTAATCCACAAATATTTATTCATCAGAATGTCATTAAGTGTTCTAGCTGGTTTGGCTCAGTAGATAGAGTGTTGGCCCAAGTACTGAAGATTCCCAGGTTCAATTCTGGTCAAGGGCATGTACCTTGGTTACAAGCTGGGAGGAAACCAATCGATGTGTCTCTCTCACATCAGTGTTTCTCTCTGTGTCTCTTCTCTGGCCAATGTGGTTCGGAGGTTGAGTGTCAGCCTATGAACCAGGAGGTCAGTTTGATTCCCAGTCAGGGCACATGCCCAGGTTGTGGGTTTGATCCCAATTGGGGGACATTCAGAAGGCAGCTGATCATTGATTTTCTTTCATCATTGATGTTTTCATCCCCCTTCCCCTCTGAAATCAATAAAAAATATTTTTTAAAAATTAAAACTGCCTTATGACCTTGTTATTCCACTTCTGGGAATTTATCCAAAAGGAACCCAAAATACTAATTTGAGAGAATATTTGTATTCCTATGTTGATTGAAGTATTTACAACTAGAGGCCCGGTACACGAAGTGTGTGCATGGGCTGGGGGAAGGGGTGTTGGTCCTTCAGCCCAGCCTGCACTCTCTCCAATCTGGGACATCCCTCTTACAATCTGGGACTGCTAGCTCCTAACCACTCGCCTGCCTGATTGCCTCTAACCACTCTACCTGCCAGCCTGATAGCCCCATAACTGCTCCACTGCTGGCCTGATTGATGCCTAACCGCTCTCCTGTCAGCATAATCTCCCCCAACTGCCTTTACCTGCAGGGCTAAGGGGACTTGGGGACTCTGGCTGGATAAGGCAGGGCTGAGGGAACTGGGGTACTCTGACTGGATGAGGCAGGGATGAGGGGACTGGGTGCTGCCATCTTGTGGCTGTGGGCATGCCATCTTGTGAGGATGTGAGTCAATTAGCATATTCACTTTATTGACTGTGGACACTGCCATCTTGTGAGGGTGTGACATCAATTAGCATATCCCCTCTTTATTAGATAGGATAACCAGGATATGGAAGCAGTTCAAGTGTCCATCTGTAGGTAAGTGGATAAAAAAGCTGTGGTACATTTACCCAGTGGAATACTACTCTTCCATCAAAAGGAAGAAAATGTTACTCTTTGTGACAGCATAGATGAACCTGGAGAACATTATGCTAAGAGTGAAATAAGCCAGTTAGAGAAAGATGGCAAGTACCATATGATTTCAGTCATATGTTGAATCTAATGAACAAAATGAACTAACAAAATTGAGACAGACTCAGAGAGCAGACTAACAGCTTCAGGGTGAGAGATGCAGGGCTTGGTGGTGGGGTGGAGGGATTGAGCAAAATGAGAAAAACCTCATGGGACAACAGTGATGACTGCTGTGGGGGTGGATGGAGAGGTGGGGAGGTGGATGAGAGTAAAGGGGATAAATGGTGATGGAAGGAGACTTGATGTGGTTGGTGAACACACAGTACACAGAGGATATGTTGTGGAATTGTGCACCTGAAACCTGTATAATTTTGTTAACCATAAATAAGTGCAATAACCCCCCACACACAAAAAATAAGTATATACACGTGAGTATACAGTGTTTCCCAGTACACATTATTTTATGTTCATGGTGATATATTTCCTATGTAGATTTCTAGAAAAAGGACTTCTGGGTTAAAGGTTGATTTTTATTAGAACACTGGAGCATAAATTTGTGCATGGGTGGTTCCCTTGGCCTGGCCAGTGATCAGGGCCAATTGGGGAGGGGGCCAGTTTGCCAGGGGGAGGGACCACGGGAGGTTGGACCCAGCAGCAAGCTACCCACAGCCGATTCTGCTCCTGTCTGGGTCTGGGGTCTGGGTGAACCAGATTCAGGGCTGTTAGGACCCCAGCAGCAAGGTTTGGGCCAGTGCATGTCATAGCTACTGGCTGGTCATCCGGTCATTCGGTCGTGATGGTCGCTTAAGCTTTTATATCTATAGATTGCCAGGTGCTTGTGCATAGGTGCCATATCATCCTGGAGTCCCACTGGGAATCTAGGGAGATTGTGCCAATTTTTGCCCACAGCCTCACCAGCAGAAGAGTATTCCAAATCTTTGTTTTTTTTTTTCAATCTGCAAGTAAAAAATAGTGTCTTAGATTAGTTTCCATTTCTCCTATTATAAGTGCCACCTATGATTTTGTAAAAAGTCATGTACATTTACTGTGGTTAAATATGTATGCTGTTGCAAAAGATAAGGTTTTTTGTTTTTTTTGTGGCTGAGTAGTATTCCATTGTATAAATGTACCACAGGTTTTTGTTTTTTTTTAATCTACTTACCTACTGATGGACACTTGGGCTGCTTCATTGGCATTTGTAAATAATGCTGCAATGAACATATAGAATATGTTGATGCACAATAACACACTAAGTAAATGTTGGTTATTATTAGTAGTATTGCACTACTGGTTTTACTTTTTCCTCAAGTACATATGTTAATAGTTCATACTATTAACTGGTAGTTCAACTCCAAGTCAGGGCACATAACCTAGATTGTGGGTTTGATCCCTAGTCAGGAAGCATATGGGTGGAACTACTTGATGATTCTCTGCCCCTTTCTCTAAAATCAATAAAAAACATCTTCAGGTGAGGATTTAAAAAAAAAAAAAAAAGATAGTATTCCATTTTCTTCTGATCTCTGACAGTTGATTATTTTTTTGTAAGTTCTTAGTATGTCCTGTTGATTGACTTTTTAGATTTTATCTTTATCTTGACAATCTGTAGTTTAATATATTTAAGAGTGGATGGTTCAATATTCATTTATTAACACTTGGAATTTTTCAATTACTGAATTCATGTTTAACATGAATTTCTGAAAAGTTTTAAATTTTAATGTTTTCAAAGATTTCCCCTTACCTCTCTTCCTGAATCTACTGGCCATAAATTAGTGTGTTCTTTTATTATCATTTTCTAGCTTCTTTTTTGAATTTTTTCATTTCTCTGAACTGATTTCTGAAAAGTTTTCGTAGTTTAATTCTTTAAATTTCCATTTTTCCCTTTGCTTCTAGGTCAGTATTTACTTCATCTTTTGAGTTTTCAATTTTATCACTGTTTCTTACTGCTTAGCATTTTACTGGTTCTTCTTTATGTTTGCCTGTGTTTTCATAGCCATCTGTTTTGTTTCATGTATACTATTTCTTCTTTTATCTCTTGGATATTTTCAATAGATTTATATAGGAGTTCTTTTTAAACTGTTGTTTTATCCTCATTTCCTCAGATGTGAAGCTTCACCTCTTTGCAGACCTTTGTGAGGTGGCATTTTTTTTTTTTTACATTTATGATGGCATCAAACGAATTTGTGATTTCAGTGATTTATTCAATAGGTGAAAGGTATATCTTATCCTCTTTCTTTTAATCCTCACCTGAGGATATTTTTTCCATTGATTTTTAGATAGAGTGGAAGGGATGAGGAGAGGTAAAGAGAAACGACGATGTGAGTGAGACACATCCATTGGTTGCCTTCTGAATGCACCCTCACCGATCTGGGGATTGAGCCTGCAACCAGGTTTTGTGCCCTTGTCCAGAATCCAACCAGGACTGACACTCTATCCACTGAGCCAAACTGGCCAGGAATATACCTTGTCATTTAATTTGTGTTTCTCTTATTGATACTTAGAGTACTAACACTTTTCCAGAATTGTTCTGTAATACTCTAATAAATGATTGCTGGGTTGAATTCCCCCCCCCCCTTTTTTGTGGAGTTACACCTTAATTTTTACCCAGCTTAATTATCCAAATTATTCACTAGGCAAATTTTGTCACTTTTCACAATTTAAATTTAGTCCTAGAGGATAAATATATTTGAAAGAGTCCTCTTCAGAAACTTGCCACTTCCTGATCATTCAACTTCAGCTTGTTTTTTAATATGTTTTCTATCCATTGTGCTATTAATAAGTGAAACTCACAATTACCCCAAATCATTGCTGAACTGAGTTATAATTGGTGTTCCAGTTGTTGCTATATAACAAACATAATAATCAGTGTTGTGAAACCACCATTTGATAATGCTCATGGATTCTGTGGTCAGCGATTCAGTATGGGCACACTAGAAAGGCTTTAACTCTGTTCTACAGTGTATGTGGGGCCTCGGTTGGGAAGACTCGAAGGCTGGTAGTAACTAAATGGTTTGATTCATTTGAAGATTTATTCAGTCCTATGTCTGGCAGTTGATGCTGGCTTTTACCTGGGACTTCAGCTGGGCTGTCATATGAAATTCCTATCGTGGCTTTTTCATGTGATTGCTTGGACTTTCCTCCCAACTATGGTGACTGAGTTTCAGAAATAAGCCGGAATCCAGGAGAGCAAGTCGCAGTACATGACATTTCTGTGATCTAGCTTTAGAAGTCACATGTTGTTTACAAGCCAACCCAGGATCATTGGAAAGGAATATAGAGCCCATCTCTCAGTGGGAAGAAGTGTCAAAATCACATTGTAAGAAGAGCATATGTGTTGGGAGACATGTTCTGGCCCTTTGGAAAGTAGAGTATGCCAAGTTACAGTAGTATATTATATTTAACTCTTAGTAATCCAGTGTAAAGGAATTTTTAAACTATTTTCTAATAAGAAGGGTTGAAACAAGATTTTAAAATTTTCTCAAGAGACCAACCAAAGGACTTGTATGCATGCATTTAAGCATAATCAATGGACAGAGACAGTAGGAGGGTGAGGACATTTCCTGGGGGTGGGAGTTGGCTGGGGAATGGTTAATGAGGGGGGGGTGGGAAGAGACATATATAATACTTAAAACATTAATACTTAAAATTAAAATTTAATTCCCTCAAGTAAGATTTAATATAAAACTCTATTCCATAATTTTATGCATTAAGATTTTATGATTTTATTTTTGTCATATTTTCTATTTATTAATAACACCTTTTATCACTATTTTTATTTTTCAGATAAAACTATGAAATGTAAAGTGGATTCCTTGACTGGTTCACCTAAAAAGATATCTGAAAAGAAACAACAGTGCATCTCTTTAAAAGATGAAAATAAGGTTGTTTTTTAAAATATTCATTAAATATAAAGTTAATTTTAGAATATTCTTCTTTAAAATTTAGGAACCAAAATGTTTTCTGTTAAAAAACCTTTGGCTATAATAACTCCATTCATGAAAAAGTGTAGTTTGCATGTTTGCTCTATTTCACAAGGACAAAAACTCCAGCCAGCTCTCACTTTGTTCTTGGCCTAGTAGCCTCTACAAAATTGAGTATTTATCCTCATTGAAATTAAAAAACACACACTTATTTCAGAGAAGAAGGGAGAGGGAGAGAGATTCATTGTGGAGACTAATTGGTCACCCTCCTGTACACCCTACACTGAGGATCAAAACTGCAACCCAGGCACATGCCATGACCAGGAATCAGTCTGTGACCTCCTGCTTCAAAGGTTGATGCTCACACACTAGTGGGGCTATTCTCCTTTAAACAATGGTGTGAAAATCTGGGATTATGGGATACTATAATAGTTAACTTCAAGACTAACCTGTCCTTCTAGCCCCTTTGGCAATACAGGTGAAAGTTATTACAGGACATTTTAAATATGAAATGCCAGTTCCTGCTATGTGAATACTTCAATATAATAGTTATAGCAATGGCGTAATCAGTTCTTTGTCTCTATATTTGTGTTGCCTGAAAATTATCTATGATGGTTGTTTATAAGAATAATTTCCATGGAATTTTCAGTACATGGGACGATGTCCACCAATTGAGCGACACTGGCCAGGGCCTCATGGAATTTTGATTCATCAAGAATATATATTTTGCCAAAACCGGTTTGGCTCAGTGGATAGAGCATTGGCCTGCGAACTGAAAGGTCCCAGGTTCGATTCTGGTCAAGGGCATGTACCTTGGTTGAGGGCACATCCCAGTAGGAGATGTGCAAGAGGCAGCTGATTGATGATTCTCCCTTATCAGTGTTTCTAACTCTCTATCCCTCTCTCTTCCTCTCTGTAAAAAAATCAATAAAATACATTTTTTTAAAAGAATATATATTTTGCTAGCATATTACTTTTTCTGAAAATAATGTGGGTTTTTTGTGTGTGTGTGTGTGTGTGTTTTTTTTTTTTTTTTTTACCAGTGTGTTGAATCTTCAGTGTATTGGCCAACAAAAAGAGGCATAACCATATATGCTGATCCAGATATACAAGCAGACAGGTATGATTTGAAAATTTAGTGTAATTAACTAGAAACTTAAGTATAATATTGTCTTAAGTAGTGTATGAGATTGATGATAAAGTATTCATTTTTCTTTTTCTAAAATTTATTAAGATATTACATATGTGTCCTTATCCCCCCATTACATTCCATCCCCTCCCCCCCTCCACTCATGCCCTCACCCCCCTGTTGAGGGGTCCTCAAACTTTTTAAAGTGGGGGCCAGATCACGGTCCCTCAGAGAGCTAGAGGGCCGGACTATATGAACTACTAATTCCTACTGTAACACCTCGGCTGCGCTCACTGCCCAAAAAACCTGGCGGGCCGGATCAGACTCCTCTGCAGGCCGCATGTGGCCCGCGGGCCGTAGTTTGAAGACGCCTGATTTAGTGTAATTAACTAGAAACTTAAGTATTATATTGTCTTAAGTAGTGTATGAGATTGATGATAAAGTATTCATTTTTTTTTTCTAAAATTTATTACAGTATTACATATGTGTCCTTATCCCCCCATTACACTCCATCCCCTCCCCCCCTCCACTCATGCCCTCACCCCCCTGTTGAGTGTCTATTGGTTAGGCTTATATGCATGCATACAAGGCCTTTGGTTGATCTCTGTCACCCCCACACTCCCCTACCTTCCCTCTGAGGTTTGACAGTCTGATATTTCTCTGTCTCTGGATCTGTTTTTGTTCATCAGTTTATGTTGTTCATTATATTCCATAAATAAGTGAGATCATGTGATATTTATCTTTCTCTGACTGGCTTATTTCACTTATTCGGTCTAGTAATAATTAATGTCGTTTTCTAATACTTTTTTTAAATCGAATTTATTTAAACAATACAACAAAATTTAATCAACAATATAGTTGCCGTTGTCTTCTACTACTTGTGCCCAACGCTCAGGAAGCATTTTAATCCCTCTGTTGTAAAATTCTTGTGATTTTGATGCAAAAAATTCGGTCAATGCATTTTTGAGGCATTCTTCATTATTAAATTTTTTTCCAAGAAGAAAGTTTTGCAAAGAACGAAACAAATGGTAATCGGAAGGGGCAATATCAGGAGAATATGCAGGTTGAGAGAGAACTTCCCATTCCAACTGGCGCAGTTTTTCAGCAGTGATTCTTGCAGTATGCGGTGGTGTGTTATCGTGGTGAAGAATTACGCCCTTCCGATTAATCAGCGCGGGTTCTTTTTCTCTTAAAGCTTGGGCTAACCTTTCCAATTGGGCACTATACACTGCACTTGTAATGGTTTGGTTAGATGGTAAAAGTTCATAATGAAGAATTCCTTAAAATTCCACCAAACACACAACATCACTTTTTTCGCATGCAAGTCAGGTTTTGGCGTGGGCTGCGGAGCCTCATTTTTGTCCAACCATTGAGGTCGCCTTTTCAAATTAACATACAGCACCCATTTTTCATCTCCGGTAACAATTTGCTCTAAAAACGGCAAACAGTTTTGACGAGAGAGGAGCGAACTGCAAATTGTGACTCTTTGATTACGGTTGTTGTCGGTCAAGTCATGAGGAACCCATTTTCCAAACTTTTGGACTTTACCAAGTGCACGCAATTGATTGGAAATTGTTTTTTGTGAACAATTTAAAGTTGTCGCAAGCTCTTGTTGGGTAATTTGAGGATTTTGCACCAAAAGAGCTTGAAGAGCTTCTTCTTTTTTTTTTTTTTTTTTTAGCAGTTTTATTTATTTTTTATTTTTTTTATTATTATTTTTTAAATCAATCTTTATTGTTCATATTATTACACAGGTTCCTCGTTTCTTCCCCCCTCCACCAGGTTCCCACCCCACCCTCTGCCCCCTCATCCTCATCCATTGGTGCACAGTTTATGTTCAGTCTCTTCCTCCCTCCCTTTCCCCGATAGTAAATCCCTTTTCAGATAGCAAATCTGTTACTTAGCATTTTCTCATATCAATAATACCTCCACATGCCCAATGATACACTTCATACAAAAGACATTTCCAAATAGGACAACCAGCCTCATCCAGGCCCCACCCAAGGCACTCACAGATAAACACCCCAGCACTATACTAACTCAACACATCCAAATATAAGCCTTCATCACTTGATTCAGCAGACCCTCAAGTTCCCGCAAAAGTTTCCAGCCATGTCTGAGAGGCAGCCGTGGGCCAGGGGCAGGTGAGGAGCGAGCTGTTTTGGGCCAGGCTGCTCCGGGCCTGGCCTCTGTTGCTCTGGTTCGTTCCACAACCAGCTGCTCCGTGTCTGGTCACTGCTGCTCCTGACCCAGTTGCTCTGGACTTGGCTGTTGCTGCTACAGGCCTGGCCACACCCGACCCGGCTGTTCTGGGCCCGGTTGCTCCGGGCCCGGCCGCTCCGGGCCTGGCTGCTCCCAGTCTGTCAGCCGCTGCTCCTGGCCTGGCCGTACAAGACCCGGCTGCTCCGGGCCTGGCCGCTCCCAGCCTGGCAGCCGCTGCTCCGAGCCTGGCCGCTCCCAGCCTGGCAGCCTCTGCTCCGGGCCTGGCCACACCAGACCCGGCTGTTCCGGGCCTAGCCACTCCCAGCCTGGCAGCCGCTGCTTCGAGCCTGGCCACTCCCAGCCTGGCAGCCACTGCTCCGGGCCTGGCCGCACCAGACCCGGCTGCTTCGGGCCTGGCCGCTCCCAGCCTGGCAGTCGCTGCTCCGGGTCTCGTCACTGCCTCTCCCGACCTAGTTGCTCTGGACTTGGCTGTTACTGCTACAGGCCTGGCCACACCCGACCCGGCTGCTCTGGGCCCGGTTGCTCTGGGCCCGGCCGTTTCAGGCCTGGCTGCTCCCAGCCTGGCAGCCACTGCTCCGGGCCTGGCCGCACCAGACTCAGCTGCTCCGGGCCTGACTGCTCCCAGCCTGGCAGTCGCTGCTTCAGGCCTGGCCGCACCAGACCCGGCTGCTCTGGGCCCGGTTGCCCCGGGCCCGGCTGCTCCGAGCCTGGCCGCACCCGGGCTGGATGCTTTGGGCTTGGCTTCTGCTGTTCTGGGCCTGGCTGCTCCCAACCCGGCTGCTCTGGGCCTGGCTTCTTCGGGCCCGGCCACTCCGGGTCTGGGTGTTCCTGGACTGGCCACCCTGGGCTTGGCCGCCTCTGCCTCAGGCCTGGCTGCCACTGCCCCAGGTCTGGCTGCTCCAGTGCTGGCCGTTGATGCTCTGGTTCTGGCTGCTGCTGCTCTGGGGCCTGGCCACTGCTGCTCCGGGCCCGGCTGCCACTGCCTTGTGCCTGGCCACTCTAGGCCTGGTCGCCGCTGTTCCAACATTCTGTCCCTTTTTCTTTCTTTCTTTCTTTCTTTCTTTTTTTTTTTTTTAAAAAACGCATTTATGTTGCAATGTTGGCTGGTGAGTTGAGTTCTGACTTAGTCTTTGATTTTTCAAGATATTCTTTGCATTCTTTCTTAAGTAATTTTACTATCATTTGCTCTCACTTGATTTCTTCACATTGAGAACTTCTATGGTTTCTTCCTCCCCGTCCTGGAATCTCAGCAGGTTGGCTTGTGGCACCCCTTTGTTCTCCGCGGGCTCCTGCACTGTTTCAGCCTGTCGCCGGGGTTGGCGCCACCCAGGAAGCATCCCCGGTCCTTGGCTCCGTTGCCTGCGCTCAGCGTTCGACGGCTCAGGGGCACCCCCCCCCCCCTGGGGGCCCCGTCGCCCAGCTCCTTGCTGGTGCCCGGCTTGCCGGTGTCCAACGGGGGCTCCTGCTCCTCGTCGTGATCCTCCAGTCTGGAGCTTTCTTTCTCTCTCCCGCTAGGGGAGTCCAGGATCAGAGTCAACAGACTGTCCTCTGCGCGCAGTGTGCGCGACTCCGGGGGCTCGGCCTTTCGCCGTGCTCCCAGGACTCCACCTCACAGCCCCGTCTCCCCCTGCCCAGCCTGGGTCCCCAGGGACTGGCCCAGACCGGGAGTTCGGGGCGGTCCGGACTGAGGCTCAGCGCCGCCGGAGGCTTTGTTTCTTCTGGCTAGGGTAATCCAGCATCAGAGTCAACATTCAGTCCTCTGCGCACAAAGCGCGTGACTCCGGGGCCCCCCGCCTTTCGTTTTTCCCCTGGGATTCAGCCTCCCAGCCCCGTCTCCCCCTGCTGTAGCCTGGGTCCCCAGAATCTGGCCCATAATGGGGCTCAGCGCTGCCGGTTCAGGGGTTCAGCCCAGGCTGGGGGTTTTATTTCCTTCCTGCTAGGGAACGCCAGGCAGCATCCAGCCCTCTCCTCCTCTCCGGCTGTGACCTCTCGGTGCGAGCGTACGTGCGAGCGCGCAGCATGTCTCCGTACCTTAGGCTTTTTTTTCAGCTCCTCTGATTTTCCTTCTGGTTTTCTCCCACCTTCCTATTGTAGAGTTTTCAGTCAGTCGACTACCTGTAGGTGTGGGTAATGTCCACTCTACATTTTAGTTGTATTCCATTGAAATTGTTGTAAGCTGCTGCGGTTAGGTGTCTACCCGAGCAGCCATCTTGGATCCTCCTTCTTGAAGAGCTTCTTGATCAAAATTGGACACACAGCCTCGACCACTCTTGTCATCTAACGAAAAATTTCCCTCGCGAAATTTCTCAAACCAACGCTGGCATTTTCTGGCGCTAACTGCATCTTGACCAAGAGCACTACAGATGTTTTTTGCAGCCTCACTTGCTTTTCTTCCTAATTGAAACTCGTAAAGCATGCAGTGCCGAATATGCTCTTCATCCGCCATCTTCTTAGCCCTAGTTTTGCAACAAAAACCAAACCAAACACAAACTTTTTCAAGCAAAACTTGTTAATTGCACTTCACATGTTCTGTAGATACCACGTGTTTGAAGGTTATGTCAATACAAGTCAACACCAAGCAAGATTTTAAACGAATGTTTAAAAACGACATTAATTATTACTAGACCCGATAGCATAATGCTCTCCAATTCCATCCATGCTGTTCCAAATGGTAAGAACTCCTTTTTTTTTTTTTTTTTTTTTTTTTTTTTTTTTTTTTTTTTTTTACTGCAGCGTAGTATTCTATTGTGTAGATGTACCACAGTTTT